TCCTTGCTGGAAAACTTCCTTGATTATCTGAGGAGCTGTGTCTACAGTCTGAGGTTTTAGGTGACGGACAAGGAAGTACCTTTGTTATAACAAGGACAAGCCAATATTTTAATGATTCATTAAAGCACAGGATAATATGAAATGGAATAAAGGAATAAAACCATAAATTTTCATAGAAAACTTTAGGATACACAACATAGATGTAAGACTAAGAGAATTCAAGCAGACATAATTAATGGTCATCAAAAAACTAATCATAAAAGCAGTGCTAGTTTTTGACAGTTCCACTTTTAGTTAAGACAACTGAAATGTCGCAGAAATGTTTGACCAGTATCTAGTTTGGAATGAATTTACAGTGCTAACAAAGCCAACATAGACTATTTTTTCTGCAATGTGTATTTTTATTTTAAAAGAATCCCACTGTTCTCTCCTTAAAAGAAATATAAACATATCTTCCTATCTTTCTAAAAGGGATTATCCTACTCTTCTGCACTAACAATACAATGAACATTCTCTTAAAATGAAACAAATTAGCCACATCTTTACTATCTTTCTGCTGCTGCTGCTAACTATCTTTCTAAATACACCATATTCCTTTTATTTGGCATTGTATTAACAAGAATTCCCTAACATCTGACACTACTGTATTTCTGAATGAAAATTATTTATGCTCATGCTAATAACTTGCTACTGCATGATCCTGGCATCTTTTGAATTAAAAAGAATGTCAAGGAAAGAGTCAATGTAGTTTTACATGAATGACTCTTTGAAAATCAGTAGTTCATCCATACAGAGAAAGGCATTTATTAACCCTATACCTGGTACACACTAAGTGTTCAACAAAGGTAAGATGCCATTATCAATATTCATGATCATACTTTAAAAAATTCCAAATTATTGGTTTGGCTGCACAGCAACTAGAAAGCACAAAGTATGAAGGAAGAGATTATCACACAATAAATAAATGTTCTGAGTTCTTAGACCTGAAGTGATGCCTCAGCAAAGTTTTATCATCCTTGTCTTTCCCTGTGCTCAGGGTCCAAATAGGTCCAAATAGGACCTCAGATAGGTCCAAATTGAGTCACCTTACCCACTCCTCCTCCACCATCATCTCTCAGTTAAATGTCTCTTTTATAATTACAAAACTAAGCCACCAGGAAGTGACCCAAGCTAACTGCTGCATACAGTTATCAAATCTCTGAGTCAGGTTCAACGAACTTAATGTTGTAACTAAGACTCAATAATGGAAGAAGTGGAAGTGGTCCTCCCTCCACGGAGACAGCTAAAATGTGGGTCCCAGCACATTACTAAAGCCATTCCCTGCAGCTTTTCACCAGAAAGCACAGTGGGCTAGGAGTGAGGATTCGGGGGTTCTAAGCCCACAGTGGATCCAAGTCACAACATCTCCTACTTTTGATCTTCTGGAAAATGGAACTCTGAGATACTTTACAGGTTCAAAATCCTGCTTGCCTTTGAATCTCCCCTTAAACCACACTGCACAGTTAAATTTATGTTAAAAACAAAACCCAAGAACCCTCTTAACTGACTTTATGCAAGAAAGTAGCTTTAACTTGAATGGCTACTACAAAACAGAAAGAGTTACTTTTATTTTTTCAATAGATATTAAAAACATGGGAATTCAAAGTTAATTTTACGCTGTGAGCAATGGGTTGCCAGAGTTCACAAAGTGAGTTGGCTATTGTAAAACCAAACTCCACACACCCATTCAAGCCTATATAAGCAAGGGCTGCCTAGGAAGGATCTGAGCTTTTTCTAATAGTGTTTTCAAAACAAATGATTATGAAGTAATTAAGGTAGCCAAAACTGTTTCACCAACCCCTTCGTAGACATCTTTTTCTACTGCCTGTCCCCCTACCCTCAATCCTGAATCTGTTTGACAAATTAGAATGAAGAACACTATTTGCTCTCCCAGTCATTTATGATCGACTTCAAGATTTGTAGGTACACTGGTAATCCTAGCAGATTCATACCCAACACTTGATGAAAAGTACACATGTATGCAAACAAGTGAGTCCATCACCTAGATGTTCCACCTATTTCAAAGGAAAAAAAAATCAAAAGGTTAATCCATTTACTATGATGTCTCTCCATCAGTAAAAAAAAAAAAAAAAAAAGAGCCAAAATGCAGGGTGAAAATTTCCAAAGAAGAAAGCAAATGGGGGAAAATGTACTTATGCAAATTCTAAAGAGATCTATACAACTGCAATCTGAGAATTTTATTATTAAGCTAAGCTTCTTAGTGTACAAATCCCCAAAACTCTCCAACTGGGCAGCTAATTGAGAGGAAGAAACAAAGAACTTCCCTCTTTTTCTGATTCATCACAGGCAATATAGAAACCCTTGCTGAATATGATAATGTGACTTTTGTCAATGCATGTTCAAATCAGATAGCGGATTGGCTGGTGATGATGTCATACCCAAGGGTCAATCTCCATTGAATGCAGTTTTAATACCATATACACCAACACATCATTTACATAACAAAGTATTATTTTAAGTGTACCAACAAATGAACTGTGCAGATAATAAAAGCAGCTATTAGAGAAAGGCTATGTGCCACTGAAAAGTAGGTAAGGGGATAAAGAATCTCTGTGTCTGTGTGTGACTAAATGGAACTAGATCATCAAACAAAACACATCTCTAAAAGGAGTCAAAAAATGAATATTGAAATTTAAGTGACTCAGAAAATTCTAGAACCAGATATATGGAAAAGTTGCCTCAAGTGAAAAAAATATTCAGTGATCAAGTTGAGATATTTGTAGGGTTTTTGTGTGCATGTTTGTGGGAGAAGAAAAAAAATTAGCCATTCAAAAATAAGTGAACTGGCAACCACTGCTTATCTGGTAAGAGCAATTTTCTTATCTTTTAACAGAGAAAATCGGCCACATCAAATCATGACTTACAACCTTGTAATACATTTCAAAGTGTCAAAGCGGAGTTAAGATGGTACAGAGGGAAGAGAACAAAGTCATCTAAAGCTGAAAAATGAGACAGAAGAACTGAGGAAGAAAATCTTGAAATCCATTTTTCGGACATGAGAATATTGATCAGGAAATGCCTACACAGATAAAGAAAGCTTTTTGCACAAATGAGCAATGTCCACTCACACGGTCAGTTTGGGAGGACATAAGTCATCATTAGTCATAATGATTCTGAAAACTGCTCTCATACTGCCTTATTAAGATCTGTATTTCCAATCTAAAGGCAATGCTGGGCTTACACACTGATTCACAACCACAAACAGCAGAAATGCTCCTCACTGTAAAAACCCACAGTGAGCTGTTGAAGAATTCTGCAAGTCACACATCTGTCCTCAAATGACTGAGTGCAAAACACAGATTACATCAGGAAATGGATGTTCTTAAATTATTTTAGCCTTTTTCTGTTTCCCTTGAAACCCAGGTCCTGCCTGAACAGGACTCAGACACACAAACTCACTGTCCTCAGCAAGTGGCCTGGAAGAAGGGCAAGTCTGACCAGGAGCCTGAACCATCATCGTGGACCAATTTGGGCATCTGGGTCTGCAGGTACGGGCTTCAGGTTGTTGAATCCCCAGACCACGGATATGACAGAAAGAATCAGACCACGGCTTTCAACGTCTCCGTTCCCACGCTCCAGGGTCACTTGTCACATCACATCAACCTTGCCCGTCTCAGAGGGACGGCGGTTGAAAAGTTAAAGAGGAACCGAGGACACGGATACAGACGCTTCCTCAAGGGGGTCCTAAAATCCTGTGTGGGGGGTGGGCACAGGGGTAGGTTCCAGCGAGTAACCATGAGCTCGTGTATACACATCTGGCTGAGGACTTGCTCCATAGCTTAGCTAAGGTTCTCACGGGGGTCCGTGGAGCTCCCAAACGTTAAATGACACTGATTCAGGCGGAAAACGCACCAGTAGCACCGTGTCTGGCCTGGGTTGTCTCCCTAGCTGCGGCTTATCCGGCTTTCCACTTCATCGTCCCCCGAGAAAGAGAACATGGCTTAAGGTTAAAGATGCCCTCCCTTCCAGGGGCTGGCTTGACAGAGCAAAGGAAGCAACCGCAGACGAAACTGAAAAAGACGGGAAGAAATTCAAGCGCGCCGGCTTGGTGGACAAATGCTAGATACCTAACGTGGGAAGGGACGGTACTTCTAGACCCGCTACACTTCTCCCCTTAAGTGGGAAGCTTCGCGCTCACAGCTGCAAGTTGCGCCCCGGATCACGCAGCATCCTCCGAGCAAGAGCCGGGCAAACAGGAGATCGCTGTAGGCTAACCCGCTCTCTCCTTCAGGCTCCTATAAAGATACCTCCTCAGACCTAAGGACTTCTTCAAAACAAGGACTCGCGGACACTTCGCCCTCTGCCTTTACATACCAATCCATCAAGTGACCTCGCAGCCATTCACGGAGCATCCTCGGGATCTCTGAGGGACAGACACAAACCCTGAAGTTGGAAGCTTGCCACACACACACACCCCGCTTCTTAGCGCCGCTTCCAACTTCGGGGTGCACGGCAGCCTCTGCACAGAAGGTCACTCCCGCAGTCCAGAGCGCCAGGATGAGCGGGAGGAGGCAAGTCGGTATCGGCCCGAGAGGCAGCTGCTGCCCCGGAGACAGACCGTGAGCAAACGGTCCCAAGTCACCCCAAGCCCATCTTCCCGCCTCCTCCTTGCCGTTTCAACCTTGCTCACTCAGCTAAAGCCGGCAGCCAAGTCTGAAACTGAGCGTGCAGAGCAACACACCGATTTCCCTCCGCACCCGAGCCAGAGGACGCTCACCGTGCCGCCTCCCCGCAGACATCCCCACAGAGGCCCATCACCTCCGCAGGCTCGCTTTGAAAGGAAACTCCCAAGTCTCTCCGAAGACAAGTCCGAAACTGCATCTGGAGAACAAACGTCTGCGGAGGCAGCAGCTGCGACTCCACTCCTGATGCTGGCAACAGCCTCGGTGCGCCCCGTCCAGGGAGGGCGCGCGGCCAGCAGTGCAGCAGAGCCAGGCTAGCAAGCCCACGGGGAGGGGCAGGGCCGCCGCGGGTCACGGTGATTGGCCAGGCTGGTTGGCTGCCCCCGCCCCCGCCCCGCCTGGTGGTCCACGTGGGTCAGCCCTCTACCCCGCCTGCACTACCGCTCCGTCCGGGTGCTCCCAGCGTCGGACTCCGCGCACCTCTCCCTAGCGCCTCGCTGTGGCCATCACTCAGCAGGTGCTAGGGAAAGCTCTTCCTTCTGAAGAGCTGAGCGCCTCGTGGAGCCCTGCATCAGAGAGGAATTTAGGGCTCAGCTCCCAGCTGAAACAATCCCTTCACATGGTTTCTCCATCGGAGGACGCAAGGCAGCTTGCAAACAGTTTTCCTTAACCGCCCTCAGCATAGCACATGCATAATTAATCCACTTTCTTTTGTAACTTGCTTGCAAGGAAAAGGAGGGAAACCTGCACAGTGATCACCTGAACACTTTATTTTAAAAAATCATGAAAAGCACCGCTAAGGCTTCTTTGCCTGGAATCCCACACCGAATCCTCTTCCTTCTCCCGTCCCCAAGTAACAGTCACAATCCATGACTTAATATTTACACAGTATTCATTTTACAGAGACTACCTCATCTGATCTTCATTTTATACACCAGAAAACAGAGACATTACATAATTTACTGAAGATCACACAGTTAATCAGTGGTCACTGTGTAATTTGAACCTTGGAAGTCTGGTTGCAGAATCCACGTTCTTTGATATTCAAAGTGCAATCCTGGAGATGCATCCCCTGAGAACTTGTTAAGAATGAAGACTTTCAGACCCCACCCCGAAACAGCATCTTCATTTTAACAAGATCCCCAGGTGACTGGTATCTGCATAAAGTTTGAGAAACATTGTTCTAAATCACTGTGCTGTTCACTGTCATTGGTTTGCCTTATCATCCTCTGGTTCTTTCACCCTGCAGTGATCATTATGCATCATTTTGCCCCAGATGTACACCAGACTATACTTGCCCTTCTCTGCGCCTACTGCTTGCCTCCTGCCTCTGCTCCCCATTCCTTTGTTCTAAGAGACAGCCATCATGCCATATTATTTTATGTATCATTTAACTTTTTCAATCCTTTGTTCTTTTACTCCTGGAGTTGGGGGCTCTGTAAGCCAAGATTATTACTAAGTTGTCACCAGTCTAAAAGGAAATTCAAGTATCAGAGACAGAAACCTGATCTCTGAGGAGTTCCTCAGTGCTGAGATTCTATGAAGATCAAGGGCAGATCCAAGGAAAACCTGAAACTACATGCCAAGAGATGCCAGAACTCTCCTGATGGCATTCAGTCAGTCAGTCAGTCAATGAAACTGATGGCATACTCTGGGTCAGGCATTCATTCATTCACTCAATGAAACTGATGGCATACTCTGGGTCTAGTGCTGGTATATACAGACATAACAGAAGTAAATGAAACAGTAAAAATTCCTGCCCTCATAGAGCTTACCTCCTAGTGAGGGGAGACAGCAATAAACACCATACATAAGTGAAGTCCAGAGTATGTAGAAGGTGTGCAACAGAGAGAAATAAAGTGCAGGAAGGGAAGTGAGCACCAAGAGGTCATGATTTAAAATGTACGAATCAGGCTAGATTTCACTGAGATGGTAATATGGGGACAAAGACTTGGAAGAACTGAGGGTGAAAGTCGTTTTGAAGAACTCTACAGCCATTTAATCACCAAATACTGATCGACTGAGCACTAAGCTAGCCATGTGTGCTAAGCATGGTTCTGGCATGGGTCTGTGTGTTTATTTAAGCCCTCCTGTATTTCATACGTCCAACTTTCCCTGAACTGAAATTTTCTTGTCCTAGTAGAGAAAAACATGTAAGCATTTTTATGTGGCTCAACCCACTATCATACTTTTCCATCCTGGATGCTCAGGATTGTTAGGGGTTTCATACACTGATGTCCTAACCCCCAAGTACCTTGGAATGCGACCTTACTTGGAGAAAGTTCTTTACAAAAGTAATCAAATTAAAATGAGGTGATTAGGTAATACAATATGACTAGTATCCTTATAAAATGGGGAAACTTGGAGATAGATGCAAAGAGAAAGCACCAGGTGAAGGTGAACACAGAGATGGGATTGATGGTTTTACAAGACAAGCAATGCCAAAGATTGCGGACAAACCTCCAGCAGAAGAGAGAAGCGTAGAACAGATTATTTTGCTTTGAGCCCTCAGAGGGAACCAACTTGACCAACTTCTTGACCTCAAATGACTACCTTCAGAACTGTGAGATAATAAATTTGTGTTGTTTAGGCTACCCAATGTAGCACTTTTCTACAGCAGGACTAACAAACTAACAAAAGTATGTTTCTAAGGTAGGATGCTACAGATTAAGTGACTCATAAATTTCCAATGACCGATGATGCCTTTTGTGTAATACGGCAAGAAGCCAAGATGATCTGAGATGAGATTTACCAACCAAATCACCACAAGACAGATTATGTTTTTTAAAAAGCCAAAGTTTAAAAAAAAAAAAAAAGGCCCAATTATTCAATCATTTCTCATCTATTTACCAAATGCCTAGTATATGTCAGGCTGTGAGATACAGTAACAAATAAGATGGATGTGGTCCCTGCTCCCAAGTGACATCATTATGGAGAGAGTCAAATGGTAAACAAATCAACAAACATATAAACAAGCTAATTTCAGACCAGAATAAATGCTTAAAAGAAAATAGAGTAAGGCTAGAGGAATAAAGGGATGGGAGGATGGGTTTAATTTCCAATGACTGCCCAGGGAAGGGTCGTATGAGGGGGTGACACTTGAGACAAAGACTTCCATAACAGAAGACCATCCAAGCAAAGATCTAGCAAAAACAGTTCCAGGCGGAGATAACAATTGCTCATTTCTTTTTGAATTTTACTTATTTTTATTTTTGGCTGCACTGAATCTTCATTATTGGGCTTGGGCTTTCTCCAGTTGCAGCAAGCAGGGGCTACTCTCTGATTGCAGTGCACGGGCTTCTCATTGCATTCGTTTCTCTTGTCGTGGAGCACAGGCTCTACTAGAGCACTGGCGCAGTAGTTGTGACACGGGCTTAGTTGCTCTGGGGCATGTGGGATCTTTCTGGAAAAGAATAAAACCCATGTTCCCTGCCCTGGCAGGCAGACTCTTGACCTGTGACCACCAGGGAAGTCCACAACTCCTCTTGTAAGGAAATATCCTTGCCATCCATTTCTTAACACCCTCCCTTTCTCTCTTTGCTACCCCTGCTGCATCCTTTGAGGTTGGACAAAATTAATGTCTTCCTCATAAAAATGGGGCCAAGGTGTTAATTTTCTTCTGTAAACCTGGGGAGGTCATGCCAACAGGGTTTTAGATGCTCACACACTCTCACAAAACATCCCAGGATGTGCCTCTGTGTTTGCAGGTAGTGACATCACATAACTAGGATGCTGTGTTTATTTTCCTCATTTGTATAATATCCAGAATACAACTGGGGAATGTCCTAGTGCTAATCAATATGCTGATGAGTGACTGTGCCTTCAAAATAACATTCCGACTCTCCAAGGCCTATTTATAAAATCCTCTGATTATCAAGGAAAGCTTCAGTTTTCAGCTTTTGTAATGCTCATGTACTTTGAAGGCAATTTTCACTTAGGAGACTAATAAGAGTAACAGCTAATATTAATCAGAGGCTTGTGTGTGGCTCACTCTGCTAAGCGCATCTCATGGATTATTATCCCCACCACGCTACAAGGGAAATTCTATGACATCCTCTTCACAAATGAGAAAACTGGGGCTCAAAAAAATGAAGTAATAGGCCCAGGGCTGAAACCACTATTAAATGGCAGACTTAGAGCTCAAGCTGGTCTCTTTCCCTAGAAGGCTTACACTAGGGTGGGTGAGCTGAAAGCAAAAAGCATTTATCTATTCTTTTGCTTTTGTCTTTAAGATTTTCATAGCACTGTTGTCTAACTTTTTTTTTTTACACGCCAGCCCTTGAGCTTTCAAGTTCACTTTTCTAACCAGATATTTGCTTTGCTTTCCCTGGCTTCAAACCGGGAACTGCAAGAACTTTGATAAATGAAACGACAGATACACTTTTTGTTTTCAGCCTGTCTGTTTTTCAGCATCCTCTGAGGAAATGGGAGTCAAGCTTCTTAGACATCAGTCTACTTTGACAGACATCCGTATCACACACGCTGACAGCTCCCGAGCTCAAAGGGAGTCCCTCCCCTCACTCAACTCATAGGGAACATCGTGCCCCCTGCCAGTCCCAAAGCTGTGTACAATGTGTGATGCTAGCTCTGAGACTCTTTGCACAGATACTAACAGATCCTTTTGCCTGAGAGTGAAGACCTAAAAATGGCTTCAGCTGGTCTTTGTGAATCGCCTTCCATTCCCAGTCCTGGTCAGTGAGAAAGCCTGGGGAACTTGCAGAGGTGAAGAAATGAGAGGTACGCCTCCTTGGATCCTCGATTCCCCTGCCACATTAAGGAAGCGGGTGGCCGTTCTGGCAGTTGCACGACTTCCTGCCTGAGATGGTGTGGTCAGGCTTGCTCTGAAATGCTGGAAGTCAGACAAGGTGTCTGGTCTTCACTTTGGAAGTCTCAGGTAGGTCTCCCTATCTTTCCCTTTGCTGAGCACAACTGCTTCAATAATTTATGCCCTGGAAAAGCAGAGCACTTCGGGGCAAATCAGCATAAGAAGGATTTATGAAACCACAGTGGGAAGGCATTTTGAGAGATCACACAAGAGCTGGTGCATGGAGCACTATGAGCTCGTTCCAAGTAGGACCAGCCTCAGGGAGAATCACGAGAGAAATAAGGCTCCTTCTGGGGCCCTTTCTTCTTCTCGTCCCTTCCATCCAGCATCTCCCAGTAGGGTCATACTCCTCCTTAGCGACGCAGAAGACTGCTGCTGTCATCCCTTAATTCATTCTTTCATTGATTCTTTTATTAATTCATATAAAGCTTTGTCAAAGATGTATTTGTATCTCCGTGTTCACATCACTATTATGCACAACAGGGAGAAGCAA